GGGTGTGTGTGTGTGTGTGTGTGTGTGTGTGTGTGTGTGTGTGTGTATGGGTGGGTGGATGGGTGGGTGTGTGTGCGTGTGTTGTGACCGCTGCCCCGAAATTGGTCTTGAATTCATCGACCATGTAGTCCAATCCCGTGATCTCGACGACCTCTGGTCGTCACGATCACAGCTTACGGAATGTTGAGCGCCAAGCACGAGCATATACCACTTAATCATATTCAAAATTTTAATAATTATCTCGCGCGATTTGACCAAAGATTCGCGAATGCGGTAGCTCGGCAGCTCAGTTTTATATGTGGTAGAGGGGAAGGTTCATGAGACGGGGCACGAGAGAGAAGGAAAAGAATGGATTTCGTGAACAATAATCAATCGAAGTAGTTAACAAAGTTAGGTTTATTCTCTAATAATTACACAAAATCGTCTCAGATTACATCGACGCCGAATAGAATCTCAAATATTATCAACGACAATACATCATGAAAATAAAAGTTGAATCGTGTAACGGCATCCAACTCAATCAGATATGCAATAACAATTTTAAAATTTCAGTACTTTCGTCCGACGATATTCGACGTTTAGTACACTCAAATTTTATGCAGGCACTTTTTCACAACGACAACTTAAATTAATCTATGTTATCGCGTTTCCACGGTATCATACTACGCAACAAGTACGAAAACTACACATGATCATTGACTTTCCACGATGGTAAACTCGAACGCTATAAAAATTCGAAAATCTAATCGGGCACATTGGCTGGCCCTCTGAGAAATGAAATAAGAAATACAAAAAAATACTGTAGTTGCGGGGGAAACGCTTTCCTCGCGAAATCTTGGTGGTTTCCCGATTTTCGTGAAATTAAGGGCTTTACAAATTATTGTGAGTCTCACCAAATGACGACGCCTCGTTCTTCTCGAATCCTCTTCTTTCACGCTTCTGAATGGCTCCTGCGTTCATACTTCGCGGGAAAGTGATTCTATCGCGATCCTGCGGCGATACAAGCACGGTCGTCGCCCTCCTCTCTTCCGGAAATTATCGCCGCAGCGTGATCGACCGATAAATCTTTTGTTCACGCAAGAGTTCTAGATGGCCCGCATCTCCTTTTATCTCCTTTATCATAGGAGATTTAAAAGAGCGGTTTCTTCCTTGTGGCTTGGCTTGCGATCTACGGAGGTTCCTCCGCAATGAGTCGATTTTTTCGGTAAGAGATAGTTCTCTCTTCCGGCTTGACATTCCCCCTCAGATTGCTTGTCAGCATTCCAAAATTCGAAGTCTCCTCGCAGCTTTGCACGAAGTGGCGCCTTCTTTTTAGTTGCTCTTTTCCGTTCCCGCTTGGGGCGATAGTCAGCCTCATAATTTCTGCAAATATATCATTAAATCAACGGCAACTTCGCATGTGAACATCAATTTAATAAAGTAATACGACCTACTCTGCGTTCGGCAGCGGCATCCTCTTTTGATCTGGTCAAAGCTCGTCGTCGGAAGGCATCCCATCTCACATCATCACCTCGGCAATCGTCAATTTCGCCAGAAATAATAAAAGCGGAAACAAACAAAGAAATCTACGCAAAAATATAAGTGGCTGGCTCCATTCTGAATTACGCCTGCGCTCTCTCACCTCAAACGGATGGACGCAGAATTCAACAATTCTAATCGGAGCAAGCGCCCCTTGTGACGAGTGATTTTACGACACA